TAAAAAAAAAAATTTTGAATTTACTTACTTGTAGCCGGAGTTAGAGGCGGTCGGATACTTATGACCGCTACTGTATAGTGTTTGTGAATATACATATTTTATAAAAATATTTTATTTATTAATATTTTAAATATTGCAGTATAGAATATAAGTATACTAGTAGAGCTACAAGTAATTTTCATCAGTATTTAAAAAATAAACATCTTGTTAAATTAGAAAAATTAGAAACTAAAGGAGTAATAGACAAATATATTAATAAAATACTATCTGTAAGTTTAATTTAAAAATTTTTTATATATTTATCAAATATTAAAATTTATATAATTTATATAATATTTCCAGCAGTATTTTGTGAATATATTTCTAAATGAATTATTTGTGATAATTAATCTTTTTTAACTCTTTAATCAGAAAACTTGTAAAATTTATTTCAGATATTAAATTCTAATATTAACATATCTTCAGCTAATACTATTTATGTAGATATAATAAAATGTTTTAATCAAATTCAAGATATTTTACAGGTAATTATTTTTTTTTATTTTTATTTATATAAATTTAATATTAATATTTATTTTATTTTAGACTGTTTCTGATTATATATTATTTACAATTGATGTATAAACATCAGCTAATTATATCCCTTTTTTAGGAATTACAGCTCATTGGATTTCAAAAAAAATGAGAATTGGTAGAAATTTTAGTAGATTTTATAAATTAAATAAGACTTATTCTGGAGAAAATTTAGTGAAATCTTTTATTAATTGCTGTAATAAATTTAAAATTCTTACTAAAATATATATATTTTTAATTTTTTAAAATTTAATTTATAATTATAATTTATAATTAATTATATTATAGATTCAATATTGTATAACTAATAATGTTAGAAATAATGATACCATGATTGAAGAACTTGAAAAAGAATGTTAATTACAAAGTATTAATTTTACTAAACAAATAATTATATTTGATATTTTGTATATATTATAAATTTAGCTGCACAAAGTATATTTATTTCTTTAAAAACTAATTATTTAGAAAGTGAAATTAAAATACTTAATAATAAAGTAACAAATAGCGTAGTTTCAAAAATAATAATATATATTGATACTATATGAAGTCAATCTTACTGCATCACAAAGATTGACGAATGATCAACGTTATTAACATCATTAGCATTTTTAACTTAGTTAACATTTTTATTTAATTTATTTTATTCTTATATTTTATTATTATTATTTATTAAATTATTATCATCGTTAAATTATAATTTATCTTTATATTTATTTTATTGTTATAAAATAGTTTAGCGTTAGATAGCAATTTCTTATAATTGTATATTTGTATAAATAAGATAGAAATTTATCCTTGTAAAAGGGCAAAGATAACAGTGTAAACTCAATAGTTCGAGTTCAAGACTTAGAATCCAAGGTTAAGAATTGCTAAGGATACAAATCTCTGCAATAAAGGGATCTCTTTCTAAACTACACATATTAAAAATTCTTCAACGTGTCAATTGTGTTTATCGTGTTTATAAATTGTTAAAGTTATTTTACTCGTCTAAAGTATAAACCTAAGGTTGATTGTGATAGGACTTATTCCATAGTAACTTAATAGTTTCTCACACGTTACTCCTTATTATTAAGTCATAGTTGCCCTAAGTTCGACGGTTGAGCATAGGGTTAACAAATTGGTGATTCCTGCCAGGATTATAATTGTCTTTATTAAACTTATATGAATATACCTACTAGTTTTGATATTCTCAAAATAATCCAAGAATATCATAAAGAGGTACACAGAAATAATTCACCTTTGGAAAAAGATGCATCTTGTGTGCAGTGTAATTCTATTAATCAAATAGTAACAAAGAATTTTAAAAACTTTTGAATTGGATCTCTAGTGAATATAATACTACAGGATTCAGTAATTGCTCTTTAACAGCATTTAAATTTTATTTAGATAGTTATCGTGAAAACGCTCATAATAGTAATAAAACGATAAAAGCAGCAGTCGCATTATTATATTGTTTAAATTATTACTTATACCCTGCTGATTTACCTTCCATTTTACAACATTTATTATTAGTTACCCATACTACTGAGTGCTTCGAAAAATCTTTTAATACTTCTATCTCACCCCTAACTCCTACATCTACAACCTCTGAATTAACTAAAACAACAATGAATACTGAACAGTTAAAGAACCTCATGGATCACATGATAAAAAGTTTCAAGGATCTTGCTAAAGATATTAAAAATACACCATCTGGTTCGGGTGGATATGATGGAAATACTATACCAAAAGAAAGTAATATTATCACGGTAAAACCTTTCTATGGAAATGATGATGAAGACCCTAATGATTAGATCAGAAGCTTTGAAATTGCTGCTGAAACAAATAATTGGTCTAAAGCTCGAATGCTAAAAATTGTATCAGGATATCTGCATGGACTAGCTGCATATTGGTTTGAGGAAAATGTCGATACTATTACTTACTAGAGTTCAGATAGAAATGCTGCCGCAAGTTTTGTACTATTGTTTTTAGAAAAATTCTCAACTGAAGAAAAGCAAAATCTATGGCACCATCAATTAAATACACTTCGCCAAGGGCCTTATGAAAAAGTGGATTTTTATGCAGGAAAATTTAAAAGATTGTTAAAGAAAGTCGATTCTTCTAGTGCCTTACCAGATAAATATACTATAAGACTTTTTCTTAATGGATTAAGGAAGAATATCGTTCCTCTTGTAGCATTTAGTCATTCCAAAAATGTAGAAGAAGCTATTGATGCAGCTAAACAAGTTGAAAGTAGTCGATATTATGAACAGCAATCTCCTGTACTAACTTAACCAAGTGGAAACAACAATGCTATCGATAATTTTACTAAACAAATAAAACAGCTATCCTTAAACTATGCAACACTTTCCAATGCATTATCCGCACAACTTGAAGGAAAACCTGAAAGAAGAAAGCTAAAAGATGATAGAAATCTTATAAAGGCTTGGGATAAAAAGGATCTTATTTGTTATCATTGCCAAGAAAAAGAATATTATTCAAAAGAATGCATGTCTGAAAAACCAGTATATCAAAGGAAATCTGATAAAAGAGAAGCCAGTTATGTTAGTGTTTTTACGGATAGTGAAGAAGAAGAAATTAAAGAAGTAGAGGAGGAAGAAGTTTATGCCCTCCCACAAAATAAACCTTATACCACTAATAGAAAAACTACTCAACAATTAGAAGCAGAAAGAAAGAAACAATCTAAATTCAAAAGGGAACTAAACTTGAAAAGCAGAAAATCCATTGATGAATTCATGGAAGTAGAAACCCCACAAATTATTACTCCTACTCAAAAGAAGAAAGTTAAATAAAGACCATCCAAAATCGATCAAATGGCTCCCTATAATGTCATGCAAGATTTATTACAAATGCCTTCTTCTGCAAAAATTAGTCAGCTTTTACAATGCCCAAATCAGAGACGTAACCTTGCTCAAGGGTTGAGGAGACCAAAAATTCAAGAAACAAATTATGCTAATTAAGAAAGTGAAGAAGAGAAAGAAGACAAATCTACAGCCATTCGTTGCTATATTAGAATTAAAGAAAACTCTGTTATTGCTATCTTAGATTCTGAAGCTGCTGTCAGCATTATCATCAGGAAGTTAATGAAAAAAGTAGAAATATCTATTGATGAATATTCTAATACTGTCGTAATCACTGCTAATGGAGAAAGGACTAGAGCATTAAGACAAGTTAAAAGAGCTCAAATTACCATCCAAAACCTATTAATTTCTATCTCTCTGCAAGTTATTGATTCACAAGATGAAACCTTACTTTTAGGAACAGATTTGTTTAGAAAAACTCATGCTAGCCTTGATTTTGGAACCAACCAAATTAGATTGAGATATTTAGCAAAAAAAATTACAGTTCCTGTAACTTCTAGTGCAAATGAAGCCCATGTTAGTTATTCTACTACTCAAGATCAACAGAATGACGAATTAGAACAAGTTTTGGATGATTATGAGGAAGAGGAACTTAGCGAAATTGAAGCATATATGGCAGACAGTCAAGAAGAATATGAGGAGGAAACTGACCTTCTACCCCTCGACTACAACCCCTGAAATGAAGAAAATCATGTCTATTTAACTCTAGCATTTAAAGAAAAATTTGAGGTTAATCCAGCAGTATTTTTTGCTGAAACTTCTAAAGAAAATATTTGGAAAATTAAGGATGACCTTCAAGTTGGGCCTCTTGATGACAAGCAGCAAATGTTCTTTTAAAAATTAATTGATAATTATGAAGATATATGTGCCTTAAGTCAAACAAAAATTGGACGAACTAGTTTGGTAAAACATAACATTTTGACCAATAATCATGATCTGGTTACTACAGGAGCTTATAAATGTAAAGATCCAGTAAAGCTTAATTTTCTTAAGAATGAAATCAAACGTATGGAAGAAAATGGAATTATCAGGAAGTCGTTAAGTCCCTAGACTTCTCCTGTAATTATAGTAGCAAAGAAAACTGGAGATAAATGAATCTGCATTGATTATAGAAAGCTAAATTCTATTTCTAAAAGTGATGCATATCCTCTACCAAGAATTGACGATTTATTAGAGAAATTTAGAGGAGCAAATTGGTTTTCTACACTTAACCTTACTAGTGGTTATTGGCAGGTAGAAATGAGTAAAAAAGATAAGAAAAAAACTGCTTTTATTTCACAGTTTGATCTATACGAATTCAATGTTATGCTCTTTGGACTAAAGAATGCACCAGCAACCTTCCAAAGGTTAATGAACTATATCCTTCAAGAATTCTTATATGAATTTGTTGCTATCTATTTGAACGATATTATTATTTACTCAACAACTTATGAGAATCATATTCAACATTTGAAAAAAGTATTCCAAGCGAATAAGTAAGCGAATCTAATGATCAAGCTTAAAAAGTGTCATTTTTGCCTATCTAATATAACGTACTTAGGACATGTAGTTGGAAGAAATGGATTACAACCTAATCCTGCAAAAATTGATAAAGTTAAAAACTTTCCCATTCCAGTTGACCTAACAAGTTTGAGGTTTACGCTAGGATTATTCTCATATTATCGATGATTTGTTTCAGGATTCTCAAAAATTGCCAAACCTTTAAATTAATTGTTGAAAAAGGAAGAACTGTTCTTGTGAACAGATGCTCAATAAAAAGCTTTTGATATTTTAAAAGAGAAATTAATTACTGCACCCATTTTACAGTATCCAAATTTTAATAAACTATTTATCTTATACACCGATACTTTTAAAAATGGCTTAGGAGCTGTTCTCTCCCAAAAGTTAGAAAATAGGCTTGATTGTGTGGTAGCATATGCCAGTAGAAGTATGAACAAAGCTGAGCAAAATTATGGAATAACTGATCAAAAATGCCTTGCGGTTGTATGGGCTGTGAGATACTTTCACCATTATTTAAGTTCACAACCTTTTACCATTATTACTGACCACTCAGCTCTTAAATGGTTACAAACTTCAAAATTTCCTAAAGGAAGAAGAGCACGATAGATTATGGAACTTCAACAGTATGATTTTGAAATTAAGCATAGGCTTGGAAAGCTAAATGCTAATGCTGATGCCCTCTCACGAATTAATATTGAACAAAAACACAAAGATAATACACGTGAAATTTTCATGATAACTACTGAGGAAATTGAAAAATCAGAGGACGAATGGCACATTTCTTCTGAACATAACTCTATTAAAGATAATGAAGAAAAATGGTTTGAGGAACAATTGCTTCAACAATTTCCAATGTACCCTTAATTATTGCAATTGGATATGAAAGTCCAAAGGATGAAATGGAAGATATATATCGTGAAAATATTAAAATTAAATCAGTCATAGCTAACCAACCTATTACAAAAGGAGGATCTCAATGTACTTTTACCTGTGATACTGAGAATCATCATATCCACACTTATTGTAAAGCATGTAAAAAGAATCTATCTTATGGAACAATCATTCATGATTGTATTATAGGATATGAAAGAGGAAAAATTCACCCTGATATGAAACCAACTTATTTAGTTAATGACGTATGATGGAAAGAACCAGTTTAGTACAACAAAAAAATGCATACTCTTAACTTTATGAAATGTTAGATATTATTTTCCCATCTTCTTATTAATCTCCTATTCACCTCAATATTTATTAAAATATATTTATTTGAGTGAAAGCTGAAGTGTTTGCAGTGTGATAAATAACTCAAAATGGATATAACACAATATAATCATCTTTTTAATTATTTACAAAACCAAACTTTACCAGACGATTTAACACCAACTCAGCAACAAAAATTAGTTAATCAATCTAGATATTTCAAAATTAAAAATAATTATTTGTATAAATATATTTGCCAAAAACTTCTCAGAGTTATTTGATCACATGAAATGGAAGCTATACTTTATATGATGCATAACGATCTAACTGCTAGACATTTTGCAGTAGATATAATGTTTGATAAAATCAAAGAACGATACTATTGGCCACAATTATATGAAAATATTAGAGAATATGTTCGTTCTTACGATAGCTGCCAAAGAAGAGGAAAACTAAAGAAACATGAAGAGCTACATCCTATACCAGTTCAAGCACCTTTTTATCAAATTGGTATAGATTTCGTTGGACTTCTACCTATAATGTCAAATGGAAATAAACATATTATTGTAGCTGTTGACTATTTTACTAAGTGGCCTGAAGCTAAAGCTGTTTCTGAAGCTACTGTGGAACAGGTTGCCTTATTTATTAATGAATACATAATTTGTCATCATAGATGCCTTACAAAAATCCTTTCTGATAGAGGAACCCATTTTAATAATTAAATGATCAAGGATTTGATGGATAAGTTTAAAATCAAACATCTACTATCAACACCTTACCACCCCCAAACAAATGGTTTAGTGGAACGTTTTAATCGTACCTTATGTGAATCTTTAGCAAAAACAGCACAAGATCTAGAAAATTGGGATTTACAAATTGCGCCAACCTTGTTTGCATATCGTATAAGCAAACACTCAGTCATAAAAATATCTCCTTTTTATCTTATATATAGGAGAAATGCAACATTACCCCTGGATGATCTTGACAATCCAAATGTTACATTATCTAAACATTTACAAAATTTGATTGATCAATTACCCCAAACTAGAGAAATTGCAAGAAATCGTATTGCAATAGCACAACAAAAACAAAAGAATCGTTATGATAGACAAATTGATCATCTTTATCAATTTGAAATTGGAGATAAAGTCCTTTACTATAATGCGGCTAAATATAAGCAATGGTCTGGTAAACTAAACCCAAAATGGAAAGGACCTTACTATATTCATCAAGTTTTAATGAATGGATCATATAAGATAAGAGAAATAGATGG